GTTATGTTTAGCAAGTCGCATTCTAAGAAGTAGTTGAGTGGTTACGTTTTCGGTCTGTGTAGCCGGTCTCCTCATGATGAGGTCTAATTTACACGTTTGTAATATGGTCATTGTTATGATAAGAATCAGGATTTCATTTGTCTTGAGAATCGAAACTACAATTATCTGTTCAGTTGAAAAATCTACTAATAATAATTCCAAATGACCGGGAGCCTGTTGTCCCGTGATTGGAAAGATACACATAATAATCAAGCTATAAGTCTATAAGAACATTCTCAATAGATAATCAAATACTTGGAGCAAAATGTAATTGTAATTCTAGTTCACCTAGTACATCTGAAATCCCAAGTTAACAGACAGAATCATCCCTCAAGGCAATAACCAAGGCAGTAACAAGTCCAAGGAGATCTCCCAGAAATGAATACAGACCAGGATTACTAATTAAGTTATTGAAGAGTTGAACAAACTTGTTGAAATTCAAAGTGGATTGTTTTTACGCCAGAACGTAATCAAACTAAGGAATTTCCACAATTTTAACGGTATATTTTCAGGGTTGAAGTGAGCTTGGCTTGCAATCTTATTACCATGGAGCAAGTTACCTGAGTTTGTTTTCCGAGTATCCTATGGATATTTGGTGTTTGTCAATGTCCATTATCGATTCAAAGGACTTTGAAACATTTAAATTATTTTGCGGTTAGTATCGGAACCTGTTTTGTGTGCACTGTTATTAATCCAGAATGTAGACTAGTTCTAGGCAATTTTAAATATTTATGGTGACCTAAATACTTGCAATGTCTCAATGTCTATTTAGATACTTGTGATGAAAAGAAAATATTTTTTTCTTGAGATTGGAACCTAGGCTCCTGTGCTTATTATACGTTAGACATTGTATTGAGGCAGGTCAAGGTTCCTAGGATACTATAATAGATTACAAATGCGTACTTACTTATATAACTATAGCTGCAATCATCCCCATGTTGTTGCGACTCACCTGAAAAAAAGAAACTCTATTAAATATTGACTAAATGGTTACAATTTGTTTAGCTACTGGCTTCGGGAAGTATTTTACCGCTTACAAAGAAAAACAACAATACATTTGCAGACCTTGCCCCAGTGCGTCGGCCGCAAAACCAAACTCTGTGGAATTGTACAAACAAATTCATTCACGTCCATTACGGAATCGTGACGTCACGTACGAGAATAAAACATGTTTAACCATCTAAACACTTTCGTAAGTATACTTTATAGGGACAGTTCATTCACAAAATAATGACTTATTATCTAATATAGAAACTTGCGCTTTCTCCCTCAAGTATTAGAGTCTAAAATCGAGTCGAAACTGTTTCCGAAGTTCAGAAAGTTACACAAAAACTCGACACATGTCATTTTTTTCAATCGAAACTGAATTCTATTACCGAACGTGTAGGGTTGCGAGTGTGAATGGTGGTTTCAAGCATCGTAACGTCACGTCAATGTATATCGCAGCGTCACGCGACATTAGATATGAATCTGGAACTCCTTAAAATGTCGTAATGACGTCTTCCGTGTGTTTTGTTTGAGGATTGTAAGAGCTATTCTTAAGTCACTCAGACACGTACGGTTATTAATATAAAGTTACCGAGGCACAATAAATCCATCAATTCTTGTTACGTTGAAGTCTCTATTTTTATTGTACCACGGTCATACGCCTGTTAACCATTAGACGAGTTGTTAACTGACTAGTAGACAAACAGACGTTGTTGTGAGCCGTTCGACTGCGGCTCACTAACTGGGTCGGACAATACTGTAGCACAAGGCGTTTCAACATATGATCTTTCAAAAAACCTTGTTGTTTTCCCCTACTCAATGGTATCACTAGCTGAATATCGAATGACAAAAAGCTAGAAAACTTTTTGTCGGAAAATCGGTAGTCGTCTTTTTATCCATAATGACGTAACTCTATACTTTATGGGCCGCTAGGAATTTCATTTTGGGCCTTTATATTTTTGACCACGCAGTCCCCATGGAGAGGGGATGAGGTTGCGGGAGGGGGGGTGTTCTTTATCGTGGCCATTGCGGGCTCTCTCACGTACGCATATTAGGAGAAAGGTCCTTCTAAAAGTCGTAAAGAGGTCGACTAAGGTCGGTGCGTCTATGATGTGCCTTTAAGCCTCCTTTTTATTTCTTCCGATCGACTTTTCGGTTTGGAATTATGTATGTAAATAGGTGAGTTGTTTTGCCATGGGTACCTACCCAGTGAGTGGTTGCTACGGCGATTGCTGAACTTGAAATGTCGGGTTTGAAGCTCAGAGACGAGTTCAAAAGTAAATTTGTAGACAAATTTTTGTGCTTAAACCAATCCGTTTACACTAACATAACACTCGAATATTAATTAAATCTAATCACTCAATACCTTTGTTGTAAAGAAGAAAAGGAACAAAAAACCAAGGAAGCAAACATACGGGACCATTGTTGTTCGAGAGGCTCTGTAGCACAACTCTAACGCTCAATACCATGTGAAGTTTTTTTACTTGAAGCAGTATCTTGTGTGTATCATCACGACCGTCTCCCTTATAGAGTGATACTAACGTTCCCGTATGGGGTGTTCATGTGTTAAGATTAGATGTAAATAGATTCTTGGTAGGACTGACAGTAGTTGTTTGCCAGTTGTTAAACGACTTCAGAAAAAGGAGATTTATCAGTATGATATGATTGTACGTATACGAGTTTATCTCGTGGTTGGCTGAACCGATTTTGATGCGGTTTTCAGAGATGAGATTACACCTAAAAAAAGGTTTTAGTAATTATTATAAAAATAATAAATATTAGAATGTCAAATAATAACTTTATATAAAAAAAACATCATATTGTCTTCTAAGTATTCGGTAACACTATAATATACCTTGGCCACTATAATCTAATTGAATATTATCCAAAAATAATCATAAAACGAGTCCAACACCGACTGAAGTCACCCCTATATTCTATACTTCTTATACAATACAATATATAAAACATAAAATATCTCGTTTTAAAACTGGCGAAATTCCGTATAAATCGACAACGTCTTCACGTATAAAATTTATAGTCTAATGAAATATTGTTTAGCACTCGGCGCCGGTCTTACCACGGTTTTACGATTCATCGCCTCCACTCTTTCTTTGGCTTTATAAGAAGATTCTGTTTTTCTAACAAATAAAGCAAAGTTTTGAATGTTTCAATCAAGTTTTAGAATATATAATATAAGTTTAAGTGTAATTTTTTGTGATAATAGGTTTTCTATAGCGATTATAAGTTTTTCGCCGAGCAAATGAAGTTTTTTTCCTTCAAAAAGAAGTTAAGAATATTTTCTACACTACACTTTTTTCTAAAGAATTAAATGATAACTTACAGCGGAAAAGTTGCAATAAACATAATTGCTCCAAATGTCTGTGATTCATTTCATTCATTTAAGCATAGTATATATCTTGCCGTTTGTGTATGTAGCTCTCTCGTGCTATGTATTAGTCTCAATAAAATTACGACCGATTATATTGCCAAAACTCTAACAAACATTAAAAAGTTTGTATCGTGAACCCGTAGTATCGATACTTGGTCGAAAGTGCGAAGGGTGGGGGCGGAGACATTTCCGACTCAGAGCCGCCGAGTTCTCCTAATGACGCGAATATTTCCCGCTTGACGTTTAATTAACTATCAAAAGAGGGTAGTTTGAATAGCCTCCTCTAATGCGACGGTGCCAATCCTCGGCACAGCTTAGGAATCGCTTTTAGTACCGCTAATAGTTGATAAGTAGTGTTCGAGTTACTCAATTCAGTTTTCAGAAGTAGCTCCCACACGAACTAATGAAATTAAAGTTTAGAAATTAATATTCGCGTTCAAACTAAAAACTAAACTGGATCATGAGTTTTTCGCAAATATACTCGAAAAAGTTTTTTCGATTTCACGAATTTAGTTTGCATTAGACGGCTAACTTTGATTTTGATGTCGAATTTTTTTTGGGTTCTAAATCACATCTAAGCTTCGCGAGTAGAAGCTTTAAAAATTACATTAGTGATAGATGAAAGATTAATGAAAAAAACGTAAAAATAAGATTTATTTTACGGAGTACTTTATGTTATTTTTTATTGGGCCTTGTACTGACATAAATCATATAATATTTTAGCCACATCTTTATCCACGCTATGTTAGATTAATCTTTAAAATATAGAGATTTCAGTGAAATAAATATAATATCGTGAAGTTCATGTAATATTCTATATTCGTTCTATAAAATATAAGGTCTGAAATTCGGTGCTAAGCTCTTTATGGCTTAAGGAAAAATGTAATTATAATCTTTCTTTCCCTACTTGCGGTCTCAACAGATCTCAGTCCGATCTCAATTTCTCAGAGATCTTGAAAACCTTTTATAACCGCACAATCAGTTTCTTTGCTCTAAATAATTCTAATGACAGTTTGTGGGCGAATCAATGCATTCGTGCGTGACTTGCGTCGGCGCCGACCGACAGACAAAATATAACAACAGTTTTTACTAACAAATGCAGCAAAAACCGATCAATTTGTATACGTAGAAGAAGTATTGTAAATGTAAAGAGACTAGTTTAGATTGGATTGTATGAAAAAGTAGATTCCTTGCAGCAAATAGTGCTTATAATGTCTGTTTTTCTAGAACCTAGTTATCAGTGTCGGTGGTTACATTATAAGATCAAAAAAGTAAATGAGTTAGTCCATTGTAACAGTCAAGGTTCAATTTAGAAATATAATTTACCTCTAGTATCAACTTATCAATTATTATATAAACAACCCTTTAATATTGTATCCTATGTGGGTTTTATGTTTGAAGCTGAACTTTCTGTGGAGAGCAGACTAACTAGCTACATATCTAATAATCTATACAAATAAAAATGAATTTCTGTTCGTTAGTCTCGCTTAAACTCGAGAGCAGCTGAACCGATTTGGCTAATTTTGGTCTTGATAGGTTCATGAAAGTTCATGGAAGGTTGGAAAGGTGAGAAAAATATTTTAAGGCGGTACGAAGTTTGCCGGGTATGATATTATGGTATGGTAGTAAAGTAAGACAATAGATATGTATTTTTTAATCAAACACTACTTTTTGTTTACAATAACGTTTTCTTAAGTAAAAAATTCAACCGCGTGAAGCACTTTTACCGTCCAGTTCCATTACGTTTTAGAACAAAGGCCTGAATTCGGGAAAAGTGTGTGGTCTTCTCTTGAAAGTAGAATAAAAGTTTTATTAAGTGTACAAAAGTGACGAGAAACCTTTTTAAAGTGTACTGATACACTTCAAATAGTTAACTCACCTGCTTCATAATAACTATTGATATTTACTCAGTTCGCGAGTTGTAAACATTTATATGAGTATCTTCCACTACCCGTTTCTCTATTACAAAGTCCGTAAATTACATTTAATTTCACCCAAAATCAAACACTTAGCACAAATTCTAGTAATACTTAGGACAACAGTCCTAAATCAACAACTTCTAAGTTAAAATCGTCCGCTCGAAGCCCAACCAAAATAAATCAGACCGAATCCATTCAAAGCTACTAACTTAAAAAAGCATTAACTTAAACATATACATTATAATATATTCATTCATTCAATTTTCTTTTTTTAAGGGGAATTTGTTTATACTCTGAATTCAATTTATGAAATCTTTTTGTGTATTTATGTGACAAAGTATTTTTTCCACTTAGACTAATGCAATGATAGTTGGTGGTAATTGTAGGAGATTTGTTTGAAGATTGAGTATCAAGTTCTTTTTTTGTATTAGATAAAATGACTGTGTATTTTAGTAAAAACCTCGAACTAAAATCTTCCTTATTCACTATCAGGTAAGCAAAATAACAGTTTCCATGATCTTCAGTACTTTGAAAGAACTAATGAGGCACCCACACTATCATCATGATACGTAACCAAATATCGTCTTCACGATGAATAAAGGCCATGCCACACACAAAGTTAAAATAAAGAAGGCCATTCATACAACTACATCC